GCCTCTGCCCCCTCCCATGGGCCTCTGCCCCCTCCCAAGGGCCTCTGCCCCCTCCCATGGGCCTCTGTCCCCTCATGGCGGCAGGTCCTGAGGGCAGCCCAGCTCCCCATCACTGGCCCCTTGTCTGGATTGATTCTCTGGGCAGCTTCCCCTCCGAGCAGCAAATGAAATATCGGTTACCGGGAGTGAGGCAGGAGCCAATTAACCCCCAGACCTTGCCACAGCAGATGCGTCTGCAGGAAGCTGGAGGGAGAGCCAGGCACACCTGCTGGCCTCCCTGTGAGGTCATCCAATTGGGGCAGCCCTAGCAGTGGCCAGATGCCCTCTGGTTCCCCATCACCCTGGACAACGGGGCAGCACTAGCCCTGGGACCACAACTGTCTGGGCACAGGGTGACCTGCCTGCCATTCTTCCTGGGGGCGAACTCACTGCCAGCCTCACCCCCCTCCTGGTAGGGGCATTGTTCATTCATTAACCACTTCTTCCTAAAGGGGAAGCCACCAAGGAAGCTTCTTTTCTTCTGCAATCTGCCTGTTCCTGTTCTCTCCAGCCCCGCTGACTGTGGCCCTCTGCTCCCGGAGAGCCTGGGTGGGATAAGGAGGTGAGTCCCTCCTTTGGGAAGCCCCTAGCTGTACCCTCTTCCCCGCAAGGCCAGGTTCACCAGGAACTGTGTCTTCCTTCCGAACTGCTCATGGGACCACAGGCCTTGCACAGAGGGCCTTTCAACCCCTGGCTGCGCTGGACACAGCGGTTCCACCCCTGGGGGCAGGTGGCATAGTGAAAACCACTCATCAATCCCTCAAATGAGGGAGGAGACAGTCTTGCCTTCAGGAAGCTTCCAGCCCAATCATAGAGACAGCCCCTGCTGCCAGGTATCCCATGGCGAAGGAAAAAGCAGACAGCCTTGGAGGCTGCCGTGTGAGGCGGGAGGTCCTTCCCTGCAAGGGCCTCCTTTGGGACAAGTTGCTGGCACTACACGACACCACACAGCCTGCAGGGTAGCAGGGCATTGGCTTCAGCCCAGCCCCCGGTGTGCCATGACCTTGCACACAACCAGGAGTGAGGCGCACATCTCCAGTGTGATCCCTTGTCTGCAAAATAAGAGTCCAGTCCCATCTCTCAAAAATGACACGAAAACAGTCAAGTGACCAGGAAGCAAAGCAGGCGGCCAGCCAGGCACTCACCACCGAGGGAGTCACATGCACTTCATCGTCACAGAGGTCCTGGGCCAGTCCCTGGGGACCCTAGGCAGGATGGGGACCTCCAAGGGTGAGGGCTGGATAGCTTTGGGCTAGTGTGGCTATTAAAGAATTCACAGGGTGCCGTGGCAGCGCTGAGGGCCAGGAGTGGCTTCCAATCTAATCACTGCCCACAGAACCTCTAGTTCCAGCCAGACCTGCCGGGGATTTTATTGGGTTTGTGGGGACCCGCAGATTTCAATCTCCAGACCCACAGGGAAGGAACAAGCACTGAGCTAATTTTATTAAATGGCCACAGCTGGCAGTGGGGGAAGGCAAGGAGGAAAGGGTGGATAAAGAAAGTCATTCAAGCCCGACAGTCAGTGACCAGCGTCTGCACAAGGGGTCTGGTCAGGCAGGAGACCACCCCTTCCTGTCCCTCCAGCTGAGCCATGCTGGGGAGCCAGATGGGATCTTCTCTCCTGGGGAGCCCAGGGGTTCTCCAAGAGCTGCTCCTTGGACTCCTCCTGGGGCAGATGCCCCTAAATGCACAGGGCTTCTGCAGGGCCAGAGCTGACTAGAAGTGGCAGTCATGGTTCTGTCCTGGTGACCTGACTCTGCAACGGACAGCGCCCTGGGGACAGCACGGCCTTTGGGACAGACGCCTGCCCCTGCCTGCCCCTCGCTCAGTGGCCTCGGCAACGTGCATGAGCTCTCTGCACCTGTCCCCTCTGAGCCCACAGGGAAGGCTGGCTGGGGAGAGTCACCAGAGTCTAGGAGTTTGGGACCAGTCTGGGTAACAGCAAGCCCCTCCTCCTCAAATAAAACGCATGTTTAAAGAAATAAAATAGACAAAACCACCACATCCACGACACAGGGCAGGAGAGCATGTCCCATGAACTATTTCCCCCGCGTGGCACCCATGAGAAAGTGCTACAGAGCGCCCCCTGGGACGTCATGGCTGCAGTGGCAAGGAGACCAAATGCCTTGGATCCAGGTGGCCACGGAGCTCAGTGACTGAGCACATACACAAGCTCTTTGCCTCCTTCAGACTTCGACAAGTCTCCCCATCCAACGACGCAAGCACGGAAGTGTGTATAAATAATAAGAGCCATGTTTATTGAGCAGTCCATTACACCTTCACTCTCCAGTCCACGTCCCACTGATGACGAGACAGGGCCCTGGCGGAGTGCTGGGACCGAGGTCAAGCAGTCCTCAGTGCAAAACCTGCCCCTCTCTGCGCCACCACTAACCCAGAGTGGGGTTACAGGGGCGACTCCCCTAGGATCAGTGTCACAGAAAGGGACGAGAGCCCAGGCGCCCACTTACAGATGGCCTGTGCTGGCCAGAGCAATGCTGCACACTGGAACTTCCCCTGCAAGAGGTGGGGGCAGGCTGCTTCCCACATGCTCTCCTGCTATCGAGGGCTGCAGGTCCAGCACCCCTGCTGCCTCCCCAGGGCACAGACTGGACCTCGGGGTGGAAAGGTTTCTTATAGCTTTGGTCAGAGGAGGTGCAGCTGGGCGGGGGCTTTGGGGCGCTGGGGCAAGGCAGCTTCTGGGGCACAGGGAGCTCCCTACCCCAGGCTGAGGCTGCTGGAGGTGGGTCGGCAGGGGACAGTACCTCCAGCCCTCAGCTTCCCCTCACTCTGGGAGTGAGGCTGGCGCAGGGAGCAGGGCTCAGTCGGAGTAGATGATGAAGCCAGAGAAGGTGCTGTACTTGTTGCTGTTGCCACCGTGGGCTTTGCCACCGTCCAGCTTGATGAAGACCTCATCGCCTGCATCCAGGTGCAAGATCACGCTGTTGCTGGCATAGTCGTAGTTCTGGTCGGCGTCCTGAGCAATGGCACTGGCCCGAACCTGCAGGGCAGTGTGAGTGTGCGTGAGGCATCCTAGCCCTGCTCTTCTGGGAGTGGGACACGGGAGCCCTGGATCTGGGGCTGCACATGGAGCATGGTGTCCTGTGGGGCTTGTGCCCAAGAGCCACCCCAGGAAGCCCACTGACCGGTGCTCTAGAGCTGGGGACAAAGGATGCCCTCTTCAACAGGCCAAGCAGCCAGGCCTTAGTGAGTGACCATGCCAGAAACCGGAAGGTCCCTCAAGGGAAAGGAGGGACTGGACTGGGTGGCTCTGACTAAAACTCAAGCCACTGTGGGGTATGTGGTGGTTACTGAACTCCTCCGGACACTTGTCTAACAGGAGATGTGTAGCTGAGCCCGAAGACCCACGGTCCAGAGGGCAGCCAGGAAGAGGCATCCCATAGCCTCTCGCTCCTCAACTTCCCAGAAGACAGTCCCCTCTGGGTCTCTCTCCCAGGGAAAGTCAGGGGAAGGGGCCACTCCACTCCCCGCAGGGGATGGCAGCCATTATGGGGCCAGGCTGCTGACTCAGCATCAATCCTAAGGAGCGGGAGCTGAGCTACGTGAGGCCGAGGCCCAGGCTCTGTGCCTGCATACTGCCCTTCTCCTCCTCACCATGCATCTGCCACCCCTCTCCCAACCCTTCGATCCCCAGCTCACTCCCCAGCCTGGGATGGCCTGGGACAGAGCTACTCCGGAGCACTTCAGGGTCTGGGGTAAATGGAGAGGAGGTGCTGCCTGTCCAGAAGCTTGGTTCCTGTCTAGAAAGATGGATACAAAGGCCCATCTCACGCTGCCACTTTACAACAGCGATCCTGATGGTAAAAAGAAGAAATTTAAATCCTCCCCAGCAGCTCAGAGCTACTGGAGAAAAGCTGAAAGCAAGCAGCCAACTTTGGTATTGTTCCCTGGGCCCTAATCCTGGTAGTATTTATTAGTACACATGCATTTCATTATCTTTGCTAATAAATTACTAATAACAATTATTTTTATTACCCAGATTAATTTAGCCTTAACTCATTAGACCAGTGTGCTCTATAATAGCCAAACCCATTAGAACCCTGTCATCTGTCATCAGGAATCTCCTGGTGATGTGACAGGCGTCAGAACTGTTCTGCTTATGTTTATTATTTATTCATCACCATGATTGTTGCTGTAATTGTCTTAATTATCCTCTGAGGCAAGGAGGATTGATGCCCTTCCAGCCTCAGATGCTGGGGATCGGGAATGGAACCCAGGGGTCCTAGCTCGCTGCTGGCCTGGAAGCAGCAAGGGTGTCTAGCTACTCCCAGGAGCCAGGGGAGTTTGGGGACTGTCACTGTTGAAAAGCAGGAAAGCAGCATGTGGCTGATCTCATGGGGTCACTGTTGAATATTTCCTCAAGGCCTGCCAAGAGGAAAACTGAGGCTGTGGTGTGTCCAGGAGAAGTGGCTTTGGGGGTCCAGACAGCCTGGCCCTGGTGCTGGTCATGCTGGGGTCTTAGAGAACTGGTGTGGGTTTTGGCCTGGCCCACAGGGGACACAGCTTTGCCCTTGCTGTGCTGTGCTGTGCCAGGCACTATGGAGGGCAGGCATGGCAGGCACTGAGGGCAGCAACGTTCTCTCCTGCCCCTAGGCAAGAGGTGACCCCCCGAGTCTACATCACACAGCCCCAATCATACAGCACCACTCTGCCCAAGCCCTTGTCCATCGCTGAGCCTTACCTCGCCACAGCCGCCATTCTAAGTGAGGAGCACCCTGACCACAGGCCCTGGCGTGCCCCACGGCCCCCTGCCCCTACGCAGGTTCTCCTTGATGGGTCTGGGCAGTGGCTATGGAGACGCCCCAGGCTATAGGTTTCTGCAAGTACCATCAGCCCCTCCTCAGGCTGCAGGCTTCCTAGTGACTGGAGCTAGGAGTCCTCAGGGTGAAAGGCGACCTCACTAGGGACTGTAGCTCTGCCTCAACCCTATTCTTCTCTCCCATAGATGCCCCATAGGCCCCCAAAATCCAGATTCTGCTCCACATTCCCAGAGAAGTGCTGGGAGATTCTGCAGGCAGCAAGTCAGGCAGGGCCAGCACGGGGCGGAGGCAGTTCCAGTGCCAAAGGCCCAGGAGGCGCAAGCTCCTCTCTCTGGTCCCCATTCACCGCCCAACCTGTCATTTTCCCTGCATATTCAAATGTCCTCCAAGCTGGCCTTGTCTACTCACCAAGGGACTCGGGCTTGCTGCATTCTCCCCTACAGAGCCAGGGTAGCCCCCACATCAGTCATCCCATCCCAACCTCCACAAGGAACTCATTGAGGGGTTGCCTACAACACTGCTGTCCACCCTGCTTGGACCCTACAGACTGAATCCCTGGCACCAAGCCCCCAACCCGATTTTTACCAGGAGCTCAGCACCAGCCAGTGGAAGGCCTGAGGAGACAAACGAGGCTCCCAGGCAATCTGGAGGGAGAAGTGGGAATCCACAGAGGATGTGGGAGGGACTATGGGACCCAGGCTTCTCTTGCATTTTCGGGGGTGGGGGAGTGGGGGGGGGAATGGCCTGAGTGACTGTCAAAGCAAAGGCTCCTAGATAAAGCTGCCTCCTTTTTCCTCTCAGCATGTGGTCCCCTCTCAAGAGCCCTGTCCCCAGGCTCTTGCAGCACATAGAGGGCTTTGAGGACAGCCTCAAAGGCTGAGGACAGGTGAGCAAGGTAAGGCCCCCAGGCCCAGCACCCACCCACCTTGGCATGGGCCTCCTTCCCCTCATCTCTGGGGCCCAGGAGTGATCTCCCAGATGGCACAGGGTCTGTGGCCTGGTGGTAGCTTCTCCATCTCAGCCTAAAGCCACAGCTTGGTGACAGCCCAAACTTTCTTTGGGAAAGGAAGATCCTGTCAGTGAAGGCCACACTGCATCCCTTCTTGGTGACTGATATGGGAACTGTGGGCTGTATGCAGAAGAGCCTCAGGGACATAGGGCCTCCCTCCCGTTTGATCAGGAACCAAGGACAAAGAGGAGAGACTAGGGAAGCCAGGAAGACACAGGTGGGAGACACAGTGATAACAGAGAAAAGGAAGCTTGGATCCTGGGGAGAGATCAGGAACGTGGGGGAGGGGACAGAGAGGAACAGGGGATGCAGGCCAGCGATGGAGAAGAAACAGAGAAAGGAGAGAGGGACAGGCAGAAACCAGAGGAGGGGGAGGCATGGGCAGGGAATAGAGAGGAGGGGACACACTTCCAAGTACCACAGGACAACTGTGGACTCCTCCCCTTTCTGACCCCACAGTCAGTGAGGTCGGTACTGCTACAGCTGGATGGAGGGCGTCCAACCCGTGTTGCTCTTCACCAGGGAATACTGCTTCCCAGGCAGGGACAGAACCCACCACCTGGAGAAGTTGGACCTAGGAGACCGGAGACAGCAGAGAAAACTTTTCCCGGGAGGCTGCCTCCTAGCTAGGAAGGGACTGCACATTTCCGGGCTTGTGAGGAGGGTGCAGACCTCCCGAGGGGCGGCTGCCACTCAGGCGTCGCCCTCCCGCCCGAGCCTCGAGTCGCCCACCTGGCCGTTCTTGCACAGGTCCGCCCACATGCTCGTGCCGTCGCCGCCCCGCATCAGGACGTGGTAGGTGAAGAAGTAGGTGCCCGGGATGCTGCATGTGAACTTGCCGCTGGCCGCGTCGTAGCTGTTGCCCAGGTTGGTGACCACGTCGTCGAACTTGAGCACCTCGTAGCCCTCGTGCGGGTTCTTGAGGCCCGCGTAGAAGGCCACGCGCGGCACCGTGGTGTAGGTGGCCGCGCTCACCGCGCCCGCGGACCCTGCCCCAGGAAGACCCGGAGGCCCCGGCGGGCCGGGCTCCCCTCGCAGCCCCGGCGGCCCCGAGGGCCCAGGGGGTCCCGGGTCTCCCGGGGGCC